GGACCATGGTTCTGTGGTTCACGCATGTGCCCCTATACCATGCAAAAGACCGTTTTGGAAAAGCTCGGCACACCCTGAACGATCTCCCTTCTGAGACTAGTCCTTTTACCGCTCAATTTTATGCACTTGTCTTTCTTGCCTGAATGGTGCCCACCCAGCGATGAAAGACGGTGGAGCGATAATCACGTTGGAAGACTGGTTTGGTTTATAGAAGCAGCCCGGACGTGGCGCTCCAGGGCCAACGGAGCGCCCAGGGCGGCCTGGCAGCGACATACCCGTGGTGACTCATTGTTCCCTTCCCAGGTGACTGACTGAACCTCTGATAAGTTGGTGAGAAGGAATTCCGGAGGAAACACCGCAGAGAAAAGCGCTCGGATTCAATGACGTCATTCATCGTTAAAATGTCGCCATTTTTTGTGGGTGCCATACGTATATTAGATGATGCACGGTCCACAACTTGCATCTATCGGGCAAGATGATTGCCGTTACACCTAACTTTATCGTGGAGTTTAGATTTTGGCCAACTTGATTTCTCGTTACCAAATGTTCGAGGATCCTGAAGCTCCGATCGACATGACAACCTCGTCACCAATTGGAATGATGCATCGGCCTAAAAATTTCAACATTATTTTGAAACCGACTTTTTGGGTTTGACTTGCCTACTGTAACATACATTTCGAACAGTCAGATGAGTTTTCTGTGTGATAAAACCTTTTCCTATGGCTATCAACTTGTTCTCATTGTTTCGCAGTTGACTTCGAAGACTGCAATCACATTCAGTTAGGTGCAGTGATGAAAGTCGACTAGGTGGCGTATTTCAAGCTGAAGCTTTCCAAAAAACTTCAATATAATCTTGTAAATCTAGCTAGCTGAGTTCAAAGCTTTGATATTCTGAAAAACCTCACTCTTGAAGGAGTTTAAACGGGAAGTCGCCTCATCTTCAGAAATCTTCGGTTTCTACGGCGAGTTTCTTAGACCTCCACAGTAGGAAGTTTTCTTTTTGAAAGAACCCTTCATTAGAAACCAATGCAACTGAACGATACTTCAGATCGCCGTCTCCGCCGACTTTCTACAACAACCATGGATGGCGATTGCGAAAGAACGAAACGAATGGTTTGTTGCTGGTGCTCGCAGATGAAATGAGGACGAGCCGTATAAGTAAAGTATAAGTATAAGTACCTGAATGAGGCGGAAGTTCAATCCCTGGCAGTTTTTCTCCTTCCAGGTATGAATGGGAAGGGTGCTGTGGGTCACACAACTTCTATATCCTGACAACACTTCAGGCGAAGTCGGAGATGATAGGGACTTCTTTCTGTCCATGAACATGGATGAACATCCTACTATTGAAATCCGATCTCAAGATTCTTAATGGTCTCTCAATGATTTACCTAGTTGCATACTCTAGGAGAGCTACATATGAGAAAAACATAATGATGTGACATCATCTGGCGCGATACTATGTTCACTGTTGAAGTTCCGGTTTTTGAAAAAAAAACCTAGGCGTCGATAACAACTCAGAAGGAGAAAAACAATGTCAAAATGATAACTGCTCTGTAGACAACACGTTGCCGTCAGTGTTTTCAGTATCAATCTGTTACGTTTCGTTTTTGATAAGGGTTTCAGGTACCGCTCTGCCAGTGAATTCAAACCAAATTCTCTTGATAGCTCGAAAGCTAATTTATTTCTACAAATTTCTACATTATTTCCACAAACTTTACAATACAATTTGCCCTTCTTTTTCATTCATTGAAAATTTAGGCGGTTGATGTTGGTGGTTTTGGGTGTTGTTTGTGTACTAACATATCTCTGTATTGAATGGATGCGATACGTTCGACGTTACCCACCAGGTAGGATCTCACAATTGACGACTTTGAAATTTCCCTCTAAAAAATGAACTTATCTTCCCTCTTCGAATATTGAATATTATTTTCATGCAACTCGTCTTGAACTCGTCTTCCCTTATTCTATGAATTAAAGAAATGTCAAGCATTCTGTAGAGTTCACTGCAGCGATAGGCGGACGTATGTAACCATGTATGTCTTCAGCGTCCAGGGAATTCTGCAATACAGGCTCAACAAAAGTGACGACAGTCTCCAAGTAAACGTCGCCACTGTCAGCCTATTGTGATAACTAACGACTGATAAATGATAGCTGTAAGGGGGGGGGGACAAATAACAGAACACAGATGCAGTAAGTAGGCTAATAATTTCTTCTGGCAAAACACTGATATTAAACATTTTGTGGAGGCCGTCGTTCATTTTGTTGTGGCGAAGCCTGCTCAGGTGAACATTCACATATAGCTACCGGAAACAAAGACTCTTGATCATGATAAGATTAAATGAGATTCAGGCGCCAACACGCATAATTGAACCTCGGTAAGCGTGATAAGATACCAAGAGGCCTTATCCTTCGAAGACTGATTATTTTTGGCTCCGGATTCACCGTCAAAATCTATGTTCTCTCGTTCTATTTTTCTTGTTCTAGTCCTTTCTAATTAATGGTGATATTAGTCATATCAAAGGATAAGGCGGAAAGTGGTGTAGTGGCAAGTGGCACGCTCACCACGCGAGCGGTCCGGGGATCAAATCCTGGGTCGTGAGTCGCCCGGGCCAACCAAGCCTTCCATCCGTCCGGGGTCGGTTAATTGGTATCAGACTTGTCTGGGAGGATAAAAAACAAGCTTTTGATAAAAATCAGTCGGCGTCGTGCACCCGCAAAGTCATTGTAGTTTTAGGCCTCGCATCTCAAACGCCACTACATTAAGAGAATGCTACAAAGTGGCGAGTAGAAGGCGCTGCCGCATCCCAAAGTTTATTTTTGTTGGTCATATGAGCGAAATTGCTGCTACGATTCGAAAATATAGAAGATTCCGAGTGCGAGCTTGATGGGAATGCGAATGTAACCCTTTGCGTTCGAGATTGCTAATTATCGGCTTCGCATTTTCAGAAATTACTTGCAAGTGCGGAATCTCTTTTTTCCCCCTCTCTCCTCTCTCGCGCTCCCCGCCCTCCTCTCCTCCCCTTTATCATTATGATGGCGCTTCAACGCACGCGTGCAGAGCACGCATTGGTTGGTTAGGAGCTATTATATGTTCGCTGCAGATTACGTATTCGTACGCACCATTTAGTGACAGGCCTGTCCGAGTGGGAACACTTATCGTGGTGTCTTCGCTGTATGTTCTTCTTCTTAACAGCAGAGTATAATAACAAACCAATTGAACTGGAGAAAAAAATAATACTTTATTTTCATAAAACACACTCGGGAATTCAAGGTCTAAGTATGGATCGTGCCAATTCCCTGAGTCCTTTATACATTTCATTCATTTCGAGTTTACGCAGAAACCTTCTCGTAACGTTAACTTTCTTCATTCTCAGAAGACTGATCTGCTTTCATAATTGGTATGGATTTTGTTTTTGTTTCTGTATGTTTATTTTTTTGTTCAAGGGCCGCTCCCTTTGCCACTGATCGGAAACCTGCACCATATAGTAATCGGAAACATCAAACATGGAGGTATCGTTGAGCTCATGAAAAAATGGCAGAAAGGTCTGTTGCTATTTTGAATTCATTAAATTCATAGCGGTTAGGCTCCTTGAACTACAGCACTCTCGGATTGTGGTGCGGGGTCGAGCCAATAAAAGCACCACCATGATCAAAAAAGTGTGCGGTTCTTGCACTTGAAAACGGGGGCTGCGATGTGAGCCGGCAGCTAAAATGAAGAAAAGAATGTGCGGAAAACGCCAAAGCTGGATTTGATAGCTTTCTTACTTTTTGTATTGAGCTGTGCTAAAGCAGCGAGACACGAGCGTGCGACACAGAGCAACTGCTTCGAAGACACAGACACTTGCATGTTGCGAACGAGAAAAATGTCGGCGGTCGAAGCGGTCCTGACAAGGTTCTGGCTTTTTCGTCACGCAATTTCGGAGAGGGCATCTGCAACAATTGTGAGCAGTTCTGTCCTGTCCACTGAAGGATTCATCCGCCTCAACTCATCGTGGAGTGCGCCTTTTAGGAACATCAGGAGCACAGTATGGTGAAGAATCAGTGGCTAGGCGACTGAAAAAGCGATTACTTACACGGTGGTGCTGCTGCGTTGATGAGTTCAACGTTGCTGTTGCCATCTCTGGAATATGTCGCGACCAATTGTTACTAGCGCGTCTCCATGAGTGGTGTCGTTTTGGATTCAAACAAAAATTCTCTCACTGACTCCCATTGCAAGGCTGAAATTTCACAACCATTCAGCGACAAGAGGAAGAGGAAACAGTAGCTATTTTGTAGAGCAGGAGACATTCTCTTTTCGAGAAAATATGGTTGTGTATAAAACGCGCAGACTCAGAGAATTTACTCGTTTGAAATAACTAACGGGACCACTGATTTGATCACCCTGATAGAAAAATCGAGTAGAGTGGAGAAATCCATTCTGTTACTAATAAGGAAAACATGCAACTGGTGAATGATAAAGATTCATGAAAAGCTCTGTGATCGCTAAGGAATACGGTAACGTCATCACATTCTGGTTCCGTAATAACAACAGTTCATTATTCTGGAAATTCGGAGAAAGGCTCATAAAGAGGAAATGATCAGTGAACGGCTGCGACTTTGTGGGACGAATACACACCGTTATGTCTGGATGTTCTGCTGTGTTTTTTATGCAGTATTTTTTTTACTGTTGTATTACCTGTAATGAGCGAGATTTGTGAGACGAGGTGTTGTTTGTTAGTTTCAAGCTGTCCGTATTAAGGACGAGGTACGGTATTTTCGAGCGGCGATTTCTGGGCTGATCATCGTCGTTTCTCTTTACGGACGTTACGTGATTTCGCTCTGAAAAATGACGTCATGGAGGGGAGAATCATGGATGAATTCCACTACAAGTCAGTACATTTTCTGCTTGGTGAAGGAGGTCTGTTCCAATCGAAATTTTTTCAGCTTTGGTAAGTTGGAAAAGAGTATGGTGAATGGGCAGGCGAAAATAAACGCCGGAGAATTTTTCGATGTCCTCATTGGCAGTGTCATCAATAGAATCATCTTCTCTGAGCGTTTCACAAAAGTACGTTCACTACCTTGAACAAATTGAAAGGCCTAAAAGGTTGCGGAATCTTAATAGGGAGTTCGCAATCGCAATTTCCCGACAGAATTTCGAAATTTCTTCCTGAAATATCGCAAGAATCCGTAAATTTCCGTGGATTTCCTAAAATGTCGCAGAAATCAGTGAAAAGTTCCAAGGAATCTGATGAAAGTTTGCCAAAATTCCTAGCTCTTTCCGTCTGAACTGGCTTTGGGGGGGGGGGGACAGGGCGGGAGAGGAAGAACGGGAAGAGGTTGTCCTTCATGAGAACAGCAATGCATTCCAACGCTGGAGTAGGGTGCAGTACAGACGAAAGGAGCGAGTGATCTTTGGCGAGCTCAGCGCATTCTTTGGGAATTTTTGTAACAGGTTGGTAGTTTCGCGGAAATTCAAAGTGTTTGAGGACAGTTTTTCGGACTTCTTTCGTTTTGTATAGATTAGCTTGGCAAATAGTTTCTGAGCCACCTTGATTTTCTTATTTTTATACCAATAAAATCAAAAAATAAATAACTACATAAATAAATGAAAAAATAATCTCTTCGACATAGTTACGCAACGTTTTACGTCGCAAGTGCCAATGTACACCACCATTATTAGCTGGACTTCTCCCGTAAGAGTTCAGTGAGTTCTCTCAAAAATAGAATGAATTCCGACTTTGACTTCATAGTGTTCGAGTAAGGTTTGCTCACCAGGATGAGAGGCGGGAGCAAGTGATCATCCGTTTGAGGACAGGGCTATAGGACGGAGTGGAAGAAGCTGTCCGTGCAAGAACTCCACGTTTTCTTGAAGTCTCCTCGCAATAAGAGTAGAAGAGCGTCGTCAAAAAAAGGATTTTTTCTGATTCTTCCTATGCTGGAAGCGTTGCCATGAAGCTGTGGACGGCTGATTTCCGCATCGAATGGGCACTTGCAAGCAGGGACGAAATTCGGGAAGATTTGACTCGGACAAGGTTTACTTTTTAAGGCGGAACTCCCAATCGTCGGAGCCAGGTCGCTCGTGGACTTGCATTGATGTGTACCCACTTTCCATCGCCGGTAAATATGCTGCGTGGCTTACCGAAGGAGCCATAAGAAGCCATCGGGGACGACAACGTCAGATCGTGTTTCAAGGCCGATGCTTTGAGTTCAGAGTTTTAAAATTTGTCCTATCCCAAATATATTTTGGTATCTCAACGAGCCATATGAAGATGTCTCTGTCTGTCTCCTTGTAGCAGCGGAGCCAGTCGACAAGGTGAAACGGAGAGGTAATCACGGTCTGGTCAGTGTATGGATTGTCTCCAAGTGAAAGGTGAAGGCTCTAAACTTTGAGCTTTGACTTATTTTAAAATTGTGATTTTTTATGCAATATATGCAAAAAGGCCTTAGAAGGGATATATCAACCTTACATGCACATAACCCCACTGCCCCGCTCGTCGGCCGCTGTTCGTTCCTTACAGCATGCGCCACCTTGTAGTGCTGGGAATCGAAGATGACGCTAGTATATGGCGCTTTCCTACTATTGGGTTGTCTCATAATTCCTGTCGCATTTCTATTCAATTTCAAATTCCTTCCGTCTAAGACCGTTTCATTGCGAAATACGTTAGTATGTTGAAGTATGCTTCAAGAGCCTTAACAGCATGGTTTCGGAAGCGCAAGCCCTTAACGGGTTAATCAACTAGGAATAAAAATAGGTCAGTGACTATAATGAATGATTATGCTTTACGATCCTCAAATGAACTCTGTAGCAAGGAGGACAACAGAGAAGATCAGCGCTGTGTTTGACTCAGTCTCTGCTACTGATAGGGTACTGAGCTAGTGGTCCAATCGCAACGGCAAAGACGAAACGAGCTATGAACTTCAACCTCATACTGGGCCTGCGGTCATTTTTGATGAGCGCCCCTTGCACCCTAAATTGGGAGTGCCTCCGCACGTTGCTACCAGGGTATTGTAGCAGATACCTGAGCGCAGCCGATGCACCAGCACACGCCATCAGTATGGCAAGGACTGCTGCAGAATGAAGTTTTGATGGAAACCTTATGGTCCGGCCGACCATGAGCGGGAAGCACGCCTGACCATCTGGGGAAAATCCATTCTGGACGGCAAAAGCAGAGCCTTCCCTAATCGGTCACCAGTGGAAATGAGTCATGAGTCCACTGCGACAACAACATGCGGCACGTCTGATGGCTGCCTCGCAGCCAGGAAGCACCAGCTCAACCAAAGCCCGAACTCCGTTTTCTGAGAATATCGATCTCGTTTTGTTGGATTCGCTAGGTGGCCTGGTTTGGGAG